AATGTTACTCTTTAGACAACTGCACAATCCAACACCTTAATGCAGTATATTTTCAGTTTACTTGCCATTTTAAAATCTGAGAAATACAATTTCCTTTGAGTTCATGGTATTTAGCGATAGAATTACAATTCCTCAGAGGAGTTGAAATCCCTCAGTCTGCTGGTGTTATGAAGTTAGAGACCACCAGAAAGTCCCCAGTTAAGACAATCAAAAACACATTATGCAGCTTGCAAGAGTCCGCAAGTACCTGATGAATCCATGAAGAGTAACAGTGCCCGGCTAGCATTGGCACACATAAAGAACTGCAAAACAGTCAATGCGCTAAAGGCATCCTACAGCCCTGTAGAACTGTGAGACATCTCCAGACCCACCAAGCTATCTTTGGTGACCTTCACCAGTCTTCACAAATTACCAAAATTCCAAAACAATGTCTTGCAATTTCAAGTGGTGACAACTTGTTTTATGAAGTATGAGTTCTCTGCCAGTCAGCTGCCAACAGCTGCAACTGGAGATACGATTGCTGCACGAAGCATATTACATACATGATATTGTCATCAGTTACATGCAGCATCTGGGAAAGCTCTTATAATGGTGACTCACCAGAGGATCTCTCAGGGCAAAATATAAAGCACATATAACTTTCGGAGAAGCAGCGTAACACAGATTGGTTTTTCTAGAATCAGTGCTACTATAAATGCTGATGATCCAGGAATAAACTAAGAATTCAAATAGAACTTTAAAACATAAGGGGATGACAGTACTAAAATGAGCACTATAAAAAATTATGAAAATGCATAATAAAAAAACCATAAGGAACTTCCAGAAGTGTTTATTCTAAAATGAAACAACCGGCCATCATTTTTATACTGTCAGATTTTTCAAAAGGAGCATCCTTTTGTCAGTTTGCAAAAGAATGATTCATTGCTCATTAAAAAACCAAACGCTGCTGCTATATTGAGGCTCCACTTTTTTTAATGACATGGAGAGCCCCATGGTAACAACCCACATTCTGTAACAAGCTGCAACTATTTAAAATATTTTTCCCTCACCAATTTAATACACTCCTACACCCTTTCCTACTCGTGCTACAGTTACAGTACAATGAAGAAAAGCTACTGCAGCAAGGGACAGAAATTGTTCTGGGTACCCCTTAGAAGAAACAGCAGTTGGAGGAAACTACCAGCTGACATCATTCCTGCTGACTAGTACTCTGCTGTGGTAGTGAAGTCAGTAGGCTTAGAAACACTTATGTTCACCTGCCCTTTCCTTAGTAAATAACCCTTTCACCTCTTCCCTTAAAGCAGATCTAACACTGCTAGCTTGGCTCAAGGAAATGGGAACTTGAACATCACCTTCACAGGCAGACAGTGTTACTTACATAAACTATTTTACAGGGCACATAGTGCATAAACAAACTGTCCCTTACCTACAGTAACATGTTACCTAGTTTTCAGATATTAAGATAATAAAATCGAATTACTTTCTCAGAAAGCAGTTCTAATAATTTTTTGTAATGCTACTGGGCTGCACTAAGTCATTACTCTCACCACTCATCTTCACATTAGTATCTTATAAACAACAACACAGTGTCAAATCTATTACTTATTTCTAATCCCCTGCTTCCATTACATACCAGAGTTACTCAATTATATATGATACTGATCTAGATTTCTTTGGTATATGCACATGCCAACTTGTGCGCTATGTGAAAATCTAGACCCTAATAAGCTCTAGAGATCCCCCCTATACAGAGCCTAAATGGCACTTTCAGAAAGTTTGTGTGTATTATAGTACTATGCCATCTTCTGAGAGAATGGGACTTAAAAAAAACTTCCTCTGGAGTCAATTCACAAGAAATACTGGTGTTTAGGTCAACAAGCTACACCTGACACTTTTCACACAACTGTCTTGTATTTACAAGTTTCTAGTTACAGTCAAGAATTCAGTTCAGGTAAGACTGACTTCACAGTAAGCTAAATACCTCCAAACCCAAGAAACAGGAAACAAAATGACATCATGTACGTCAAACTATTTTGTACTGCTAAAGTATCTTTTATCTATTCTTACATCATCACTAAGCAATTACATTAACCAAGGAAGCAGATGTATATTAAGAGGGTAACTGTTTCTGGACCGCAAGCAAACATTTAGTTACATCACTTCACAATCAAGAAATGATGAACGTTTAAAGAGCTCAAAAAAACATTGATTTAATATTGCACTTTTTAACAAATCTCCCTCCTCACATCTCCAAAGACGTTTCACCCTAATAAAGATACTTTCAAGAGAGAAAACTGATCCTAGACCTTCCTCTTTTCAAGAAAAAAATGTCTGTATGTCTCTCTAAAATGAAAAATTCACCGAGTACATCATATAAGTCAACACAGTACTACATCTAGAAAATAATTTTATTATCACTAAAATACATTACACTGCCCTTCAAAGAATCATGCTAGGATTCAAGCTGCAAATCAATTAAAACACATGGAGCAGATCACAGTCCGGAGCTCTTTTCGGGCTCCTTCCAAACTCATGAATGTGCTCATCTCTCTTATCTTCAACAAAGTCTTTACATTTATAGCAACAGGGTATACTAAAAATAAAACAGCGTTCTCCAAAATAAATAAAAAACCCCAAACGACTAATCACCAGCGAGAGTGACCGACTCCCAAGGCAGCTCGCTGCAGAGGGGGCACGCCCTATTGCTCCGGGAACAGCGAAGCCGTGGTAACGTGCTCCGAGGAAGTAGGACAGAGAAAGGCACCGAAATACATACAGCTGTAATTTCAGCACATCTTTCTTTTTCCCTCATTCCGCCGTTTCCACTCAGCCCCCGCGGGGCACACGGCAGCTTCTCGCGGGTGAGGAGGAGGGATCGCGCCCGGCGAGCGGGATCAGCCCGCCGGAAGGGCTCGGGCCAGGCCGGGCTCTGCTTCCCCTGGTCCGCCCGCACCGAGCCTGACCGCGGCCACACGGAAGGGGCCGCACACCGCCGCCCCAAGCTTCTCCTTCTGCTCGCCAACCTGAGCAACGAGTTCCGGCTGAGCCGCTCCTCCAAACCTGAAGAACCGGGTTCCCGCCCCGCTTCGTCGCCCGAGTTTTGTGTCTGTGACACCCTTCCTCCTCCCGGCCCTCGCCCTTACCCTGCCTGGGCCCCAGGGAGCCTTACCTGCGGGCCACCCT